CACCCTGTTATATTTTATAGATTAAATAATATGTAGAGCCCCCAAAGATGGTACAGATTACAGGACTGAGAAATTTTAGCAAGTATTCAGATTACAAAATAAATATCAAAGTAAAGTTTACTTAAATATTTCATTTATATACAGTAGCAGCAAGGAGTTGAGAAATTGATTTTAAAAAGATAATATATTTTAGTAAATAAAAGGTATCAAGAAAGAGTATAATTAAGTAAATACAAGATTCTAATGAAAAAAAATCTCCCACATTTGACAGTTTGTCATACTGTGAGGGCCTGCGTGTTGCTGTGATGCTGGAAGCTATGCCACTGGTATTCAAATACCAGCAGAGTCACCCATGGCAGAGAGGTTTCAGCTGAGCTTCCAGACTAAGACAGACTAGGAAGAAAGACCTGGCGGTCTACTTCTGAAAAGAATTAGCCAGTAAAAACCTTATGAATAGCAGCGGAACACTGTGATATACTGCCGGAAGATATACGGCACTCAAAAGATGACTAGGGAAGAGCGGTCTCCTCAAAGTAGAGTCGACCTTAATGATGTAGATGAAGTCAAGCTTTCGGGACCTGCATTTGCTGATGTGGCACGACTCAAAATGAGAAGAAACAGCTGCAAACATCCACTAATAATTGGAATGTGGAATGTACTAAGTATGAATCGAGGAAAATTGGAAATCGTCGAAAATGAAATGGAATGCATAAACATCAATATCCTAGACATAAGTAAGCTGAAATGGACTGGTATTGGCCATTCTGAATCAGACAATAATATAGTCTACTGTGCCAGGAATGACAACTTGAAGAGGAATGGCTTTGCATTCATTGTCAAAAAGAACATTTCAAGATCTACCCTAAAGTAAAATGCTGTCAGTGATAGGATGATATTCATATGCCTACAAAGAAGACCAGTTAACATGAATATTATCCAAATTTACATACCAACCACTAAGGCCAAAGATGAAGAAATTTAAGATTTTTACCAATTTCTGCAGTCTGAAATTGATCCAACATGTAATAAGGATGCATTGATAATTACTGGCATTTGGAATGCAAAAGTTGGAAACAAAGAAGGATCAGTAGTTGGAAAATATGTCCTTGGTGATAGAAACGATGCTGGAGATCGCATGACAGAATTTTGCAAGACCAACGACTTCTTCATTGCAAATACCTTTTTCTAACACTGTCAACAGTGACTATACAGGTGGACCTTGCCAGATGGAATACAAAGGAATCAAATCAACTACATCTGTGGAAAAAGATGACGGAAAAGCTCGATATTGTCAGTCAGAACAACACGAGGGGCCGACTGTGGAAAAGACCACCATCTGCTCATATGAAAGTTCAAGTTGAAGCTGAAAAAAATTAGAACAAGTCTACGAGAGCCACAGAACGACCTTGAGTATATCCCACCTGAATTTAGAGACCATCTCAAGAACAGATTTGACGTGGTGAACACTAATGACTGAAGACCAGATGAGTTGTGGAAGGACATCATACATGAAGAAAGCAAAAGATCATTAAAAAGACAGAAAGAAAAATCCCAAATGGATGTCAGAAGATACTCTCAAACTTGTTCTTGAACGTCAAGTAGCTGAAGCAAAAGAAACGATGAAGTAGAAGAGCTGAAAAGATTTTAAAGGGTGGCTCGAGAGGACAAAGTGAAGTATTATAATGAAATGTGCAAAGATATAGAGTAAGAAAACCAAAAGGGTAGAACATGCTCGGTATTTCTCAAGCTGAAAGAACTGAAGAAAAAACATCAAGCTTTGAGTTGCAATATTGAAGGATTCTATAGGGAAAATATTAAACGACACAGGAAGCATTAAAAGAAGATGGAAGGAATACACAGAGTCATTGTACCAAAAAGAATTGGTCGACGTTTAACCATTTCAGGAGGCAGCATATGATCAGGAACCCATGGTACTGAACGCAGAGTTCCAAGCTGCACTGAAGGCACTGGCGAAAAATAAGGCTCCAGGAACTGACAGAATACCAACTGAGATGTTTCAACAAACAGATGCGGCACTAGAAGTGCTCACTTGTCTATGCCAAGAAAGCTGGAAGACAGCTACCTGGCAACTGACTGGAAGAGATCCATGTTTATGCCTATTCCAAAGTAAGGTGATCCCCCAAACACAGGAATTATCAAACAATATCATTAATATCACACGCAAGTAAAATTTTGCTGAAGATCATTCAAAAGCGGCTGCAGCAGTACATTGACAGGAAAATGCCAGAAATTCAAGAGGGATTCAGAAAAGGATGTGGAACCAGGGTTATCATTGCTGATGTCAGATGGATCCTGGCTGAAAGCAGAGAATACCAGAAAGATGTTTACCTTTGTTTTCTTGACTGCAAAGGCATACAACTGTGTGGATCATAACAAATTATGGATAACATGGCAAAGAATGGGAATTCCAGAACACTTAATTCTGCTCATGAAGAACTTGTACTCAGATCAACAGGGAGTTGTTCAAACAGAACAGGGGATACTATGTGGTTTAAAGTCAGGAAAGGTGTGCATCAGGGTTGTATCCTTTCACCATTTACCTATTCAATCTGTATGCTGAGCAAATAATCGAGAAGCTGGACCATATGAAGAACGGGGCATTAGGATTGGAGGAAGACTCATTAACAACCTGCGTTATGCAGATGACACAACTTTCCTTCCTGAAAGTGAAGAGGACTTGAAGCAATTACTAATGAAGATCAAAGACCATAGCCTTCGGTATGGATTACACCTCAACATAAAGAAAATGAATCTTCACAACGGGACCAATAAGCAACATCATGATAAATGGAGAAAAGACTGAAGTTGTCAAGGATTTCATTTTACTTGGATCCACAGTCAACACCCATGGAAGCAGCAGTCAAGAAATCAAAAGACGCATTGCATTGGGCAAATCTGCTGGAAAGACCTCTTTAAACAAAGTGTTGAAAAGCAAAGATGTCACCTTGAAGACTACGGTGCGCCTGACCCAAGCCATGGTGTTTTCAATCGCCTCATATGCATGTGAAAGCTGGACAATAAATAAGGAAGACCGAAGAAGAATCGATGCCTTTGAATTATGGTACTGGTGAAGAATACTGAACACACCACGGACTGCCAAAAGAATGAACAAATCTGTCTTGGAAGAAGTACAGCCAGAATGCTCCTTAGAGGCAAGAACGGCTAGACTACATCTCACATACTTTGGACACGTTATCAGGAGGGATCAGTCCCTGGAGAAGGACATCATGCTTGGTAAAGTAGCGGGTCAGCGAAAAAGAGGAAGACCCTCAAAGAGATGGACTGACCCAGAGTTCTACTCTGTCCTATAGGGTCGCTGTGAGTCGGATTCGACTCTATGGCAACAGGTTTGGTTTGGTTTTCATGTATTGTTATGAAAAGATCATCAGGATAAATTTGTTCATTAAAAAGTTAAGTGTGAATTCCGTGCTACCTTTTGTATAACAAAGTAGGGGAAATAAAAATTTCATTTCTACTTGCTTGCTTTTACATAAACACTGGCAAGATGCTTCAGAAAGTAACAAAGCCTGTTATTTAAAGAAGCTGGGGGAAGAGCAGTAGGCTGGATGAGGACAAGGGTAGAAACACGTTTTCATAAAGTATACTTTTAAAGTTCATGTTCACTTTTGGACTTGAAGGTGCTATCCACTGGAAAAACAATTTCAGTAAACTATATTATACTTATAAACATGATACAAATCCAGTGAGATATTGTTTTTACCAGGAATTCACATTCCTAATAATAAAACCCTTTAAATTTAACATTTAGGACCCAACTGTTATGCAACAGTCTAACACACTTGTGCAAATCACAAAAGTATACGTTAGGGCTCTTTTTCTAAACACAGTAGCCAGGGATATCGGAGTCTGTACGTCCATTTTATCACAGCAAGAACGTTTCTAAAATGGCTGAAATATTTAACACATTAGGGGTTCTGGCATGACTTGTTAAATGTAACAGGAGTCTTTAAGAACTTTCTCAAGATTTAAGTAAGCTTTAGAATAGCTTTACATCAGCAAAGAAGGCATTCCTCTGTGCTTGAGAAGTTTATATCCATTACATTGAAAAGTTCTCAGTAGAAACATACCAAATGATCTGGAAATTTTCTTCCAGTGAAAACTGCAAACCCAAGGACTTAAATACACACATACCATATTTTGAACTTTTCTAGCAAAAGAGAACACTTATTTTAGATTCTAATTCAAGAGTGTGGAAAGCAGTCGAAAATGATAGGGATTTAATGCCAGCTCTAGGCACAGGTGGGAAGACAAGGGCCTATATTGGAGATTCATGCTTGTCACACACCTGAAAGCCTCAAGGCAAAAGCATTCCCTACTGGAAAAAAGGAAGGGTCTAGAGACCCCACACTTGATCCATCCGGACTCATTCTCCCCAGCCTCAGACTTTGGTGAGGGCATGAGAGCACCAAGCTCCACCCAGGACCCCATAAACAGTCAAGGCCTTCCCCTGCGAACACTCTCCCCCGTTTTTTATGCCATCACAGTGTGACAGGAGGAGCTGTAGTGTTAGAACTATACAGAAAAGGCTCCAGGACATGGCAAAAGCCAAGAAAACTGCAGTGATGGGACAAGGATGGCTCTGGAGGGCCTGGGGCTCAGCCTCCTCAGCCAGAGCCACACCATCTTCTGGCTCTGCTCAGGAGATTCTGCCATTCAACACAGAGCATCACGGCCTAGAGGGAATGTTAACATCCCATGGGGCCAGCTCTGCAGGTCACATAAAGGAGGTGACCACAGGCATTCAAATCATAAAAAACCACGTACGTACAGCTGAAGGGCCCAGTGACAGTGAAACAGGGCCTAAGGATGCCTTCTAGGGCCCAGTCCCTTGGCCTCCTCTGCCACCTTTTTATCACTGAAGAATCACAGGGCCCACAGCACACAGCCGGTCTCCCAGCATTTCATATCAAGCTTCTCCTCCTTATGGTAAGAATAACCCAGTTCTCCGTAGCGCTCACCATTTCCTTGCTCCAGCTTCTGGAAGTCTAAGTGAATGTCTTCTCTGAGCCCAAGAGCCACTTCAGTAAGAGGGATGGGAGTGGAAGCAGAGTCACTAGGCAGTCTGGAGGCAGATGAATAATATTTGGTCCACACACCAGTCAGAGCAGCTGCAATCCTTATTTGTGATTTCCAGACATGCAAGATGGTTGCCCTAGGTCTCCGGCTGCCTAGACTGGACTAGTTCTCCCTGTGCCACACTTGGGACCTGAAATGGAAGAAGAATGGGGAGAGGACAGTGTTGAGTAAGGAGGGAGTGACAGGTTCTTGGCCTTCAGCTCTTTCCCTGGGCAGGGCTTCCTCCCAGGCTCAAGGCCATGCTCCTCCCTGGGCACATCTGCATTTAAGGCAGAAAAGGCTCCAGCTTCCAGAACACACACTTTGCGTTCCTCACACAGCTACACAGGCCTCTTCTTTCTGACAGAGAATGAGAAGCATCCAGGCCTGTAGACAGGCTAGAAAACTTTAACCTGACTTCCTCTAGGGAGCCTGGGCTCCAAGTTGAGGTTGTGGGTTCACATATGTAACTTTTTCCCTTATAGATCAACACACACAGTTACTTGATATCATATTGGGTGAATTATCAGGAAGAACATATTTTTCAAGTTTTGTCAATGAACTCATCAAGCTTCCTAGATTTTAAATTATGTATAATTAAAAACCCTTCTGTTGTGCTTTAAAAAATTTTTTGCTTTCATTTATAGCATTGTAAAATGTAATCAGTATTTTTCCATTTGATTTGGCAATTAACATTTTCTTCCCCTTGAGTTTTTTTCCTCCGGCCCTTCATTCTCAAATCTTGATACCACCAGTTCTTTAAGCTTTTGGGAAATCTGGAGGATTTCAGAACACTCTTTCAATCTTACAATAAGTCAATCAACAAATAAATCAGAAAAGCTTCTTCTCTAAGGCGCCATCTCCCATCTCGGTTCCGATTTCTTTCTACCCTGCTTCTCCGCCCCCCGCCCCCCACACACAGCTGTCTCCTACTCTTATTTCCTGGTCTCAGTGAAATGTTCTCTCATACGTGGTCTTCATAGCAGTACCTCCCCTTTAAGAACTACCTTCCTTTTATTATCTTCTCTAATAGCACTGTCTAGTTTTAATTCACATCCTTATTTCTACACTTATTTTCAGCATAAACTAGGAGCTTGTTTGGTATGTACAATCTCAAGCCCCACCCAAGACCTGCTGAATCAAAATCTGCATTTTAACGAGATCCCACGTCCACCTTCAATTTTGAGAAGCATTCACTGCTCAATAGCCTTTAATTCAAGGAATGAACATTCTATCAACTGACGCCCTTGGAACCGTCTACATTATATCATTCTACTAGCTCCATGTCTAGGTCTCCTTAGTCTTCCTTAACTTGTTCATAACAAGCTCCTGCTTGACGTCATTCAAATACGGTCCAATGGAAATTTTTGGGAAGATGGACATGTTCTGTTTCTGCACAGTACTATATGGTAGCCACTAGCCCCATGTGGCTATTTGGAATTTAACATGTAACATGTTATCAACAGGGACCAGTCCCTAGAGAAAGACACCATGCTTGGTAAAGTAGAGGGTCAGTGAAAAAGAGGAAGAGCTTCAAGGAGATGGACTGACACAGTGGCTGCAACAATGGGCTCAAGCATAACAATGATTGTGAAGATGGCACATGACCAGGCAGTGTTTCCTTGTGTTGTACATAGGGTCACTATGAGTCGGAGCCAACTCAACAGCACCTAACAACACTGGAACTAAGAAGCTGAATTTTTTCTTTCAGTTTTAATTAATTTTAACTGAAATAGCCACATCTGGCTACTGGACATCACAGCTCTAGTGAACTCCCCAGAACCCTAAGCAACCAACACAGCAGAGAGTGTGTGAAAGGTACCACCATCACAATGCAGAGCTTCACAGCTTTTTGTTTGCTGGAAGCCCTCACATAGGGAAATAGAGCTGGTAAAAGCAAAGATAACATTCAATTAATTTGGTTGTATTTATATGATTGTGGTGCAATGGATCACTTTTGTGTGGCCTTTCTGTCAATAGTCTTGTAACTCCCGCTCAAGTGTTTGGATTGGACTGTGCAAAGAAGGTAATTGTGAACCACCAAGGGGACTGGTCAGTTTTGCCATCCTGCTAGGCTTAAAATGAGCCATCATGGAGGCAGGAAGGAGAGGATCTCACTACCAAAGAAGAAGAACCTGGAGAGGACTATGTCCTTTGGACCTTGGATCCCTGTGCTGAGACCCTCCTAGACCCAAGAGACAGAGAGAGAACTGTAATACTGAAGATGAGAAGCAGTGGCAGACAAATGGTGGCAGGAGAGACCAGCAGGAGATGGCATGGTGGGCTTCCCGGCCCACAAAGTAAAGCTGAATGCCTTAGGGCAGGAGATTTGCTGGTGGAGTAGGGTACCTCCGGGCACTTGGTGGAATTAGGTTTGCTGACCCACGGAGCTGGAGCTGAGTGCCTTTTGGCCGAGGCTTACTGGCAGAGTAGGGGTGCCTCTGGGCACTATCGGCAGAGTTAAAAGAGCTCTGTAACACTTGCTTGAGCAGGGCAGAGGCCGAGGGGCCAGAGAGAGGCGTGCCTGCAGGCATGGCTCGGAAGAGGCTGTCCTGATAGAAGAACTGTATCCTGAGCATTCCTGAACCTGAACTGTAACCTGTTAGGGTCACTATGAGTTGGAATCGACTCAACAGCAACAGGTTTGTTTTTGTTTTTTTTTTGGTTACTTCCCTAATAAACTCCATAATCATGAGTTTGTTATGAGTTCTGTGTGGCCATTACAATGAATTATCGAACCAGCAGAGAAGTAGAGAGTGCCATGGGAGGGAGAGTTGATGTCGGAATTGGTAAAGGTGGTGGACAGAGGAGGCATGTCTGACCTCTGCCTCTGAGGAATCCGCCTTGGGCTGTTGATCTTGATTCTCCTTCCCCCTGGTGAAGTTACACGAGGTCAGATGCCATCCCCGTGTCATTTTTACAATGACTAAATGTCAATCTAAATTTGATTTATCTCATTCTGAAAACTGCAACGACATTTAAACATAGAAATGAACGGGAGTAACAGAGGAGGCAGGAGGGGCACTCTCTGAGGAGGTAACATTTGAAGTGAGACCTGAATTATAAGAATAATCACATTCCTATGGTTGAGAAGTTTTCCTCCAATCAGAGGGAATACCTGGTGTGAAGGTTGAAAGGCAGAAAAAGTCTCAACATCTTTGAAAAAGTTTTTTTTTTTTTTTAAATGTGTCAAGAGCTTATCTAACATGAGGATGAGTGTTATAAATTTACGTCAGAGAGGTATACATAAGCCTGACCATGTAGGATCTTGTTGGCCAACATAAAATATGTGGATTTTATTCTATATGTGATTGACTGCTTACTTGGTTTACATTTTTGAAATATGCCTCTTGCTGCTGGGTGGAGACTATACACTCTTGTGACAAGACAAAAAGTAGAAGAAAGTTCAGACTCTGTTTTCATAAGGTAGATCTCACAGAGCAGCTTGGACTATTTCCCCTAATCTAGTGAATGGATGCTGATGCCATTTACTGGTCTGGGAAAGCCAAGAGAGAAGCAGATTTGTTCAAGTCAGATTTAAAAGCTTTGTCTTGGACGTGTTAGATTTCAAACAATACAGTCCTTAGTGCCCCAGGTGGACTATGGGAAGGTTTTGGTCTCTGAATCCATTGGTACCCAGTAGCCCATATCTCAACCTGTAGGTTACCACCTCCTGGCCACAAAGAATCAAACTGTGACCTCTGAAACAGCTAAAAGGAAGGAAGAGCACAGTTCTGGCATGTATTAGGCCTTTAGGATATGTAAGTTGATACTGTGACATTATCTGAGGGACAACTCTTTTAAGATTCTGAACTAGGAAAATTCAGTGGTAATTTTGAATGAAGGTTTGAAATTTACATGAAGTGGCCATACTACCAGTTATGTCTCCAAGAGAAACTCCGGTCCAAAAAGGGGCTATTTCTATAATATCTATCTATATTATCTATAATATCTATATTTAGGGAAGGAAAGGGAAAAATAAGACACCACATTTTTCTATCAATATTGAGATTATAAGTGGTGTTAAATGATCATTTTCCCTCTACACATTTTTGCATTTTTGAAACGTGATATTTTTACTATTTAAAAAAAATAGGAACATTTATTTTTTCCACACACTACTTCTCAACAATGGATTCTTACATACGATACCAAAAGCACAAGCAACAAAAGACAAAATAGATTAATTTAAAATCTTGTATATCAAAGGACTTTAGAACAAAGTGAAGAGACAACCTACAGAATGGAAGAAAATATTTGGGAATCATATATATGATAAGAGTTTAATATCCAGGGTATATAAAGAACTCCTACCACTCAACAACATAAAGACAAACAAGCCATTTAAAAATGGGGGAAAAAAACTTAAATGGACATTTCACCAAAGAATATATACAAATGGCCAATAAACATATGAAAAAGATGCTCCATGTCATTAGTCATTAGACACATGCAAATCAAAACTACAATGATCTCAACATGAACAAAAAAAGCCCTGGCCTGGACGCCTTCACTGAAGAATTCTACCAAACTTTCAGAGAAGAGTTAACATCAGTACTACTAAAGGTATTTCAGAGCACAGAAAAGGAAGGAACACTCCTGAACTCATTCATTCATTACCAAAGCAAGGTAAAGATGCAACAAAAAAAGAAAATTACAGAACAATATCCCTCGTGAACATAGACACAAAAATCCTCAAAAAATTCTAGCCAATAGAATAGTATATTAAAAAAAAAAATTCATCATGACCAAGTGGAATTCATATCAGGTATGCCGGGATGTTTCAACATTAGAAAAATCAATCAGTGTAATCCGTCACATAAATAAAACAAAAGATAAGACTCAGGGGATCTTATCAACTGAAATCTAGAAAAGGCATCTGACAAAGTCCAATACCCATTCATGATAAAAACTCTCCGTAAAATAGGAATAGAAGGGAAATTCCTTCACATAATAAAGGGCATTTATACAAAGCCAACAGCCGACATCATCCTAAATGGAGAGAGTTTGAAAGTATTCTCCTTGAGAACAGGAATCAGACAAGGATGGCCCTTATCACCACTCTTATTCAACATTGTGCTGGAGGTCCCAGCCAGAGCAATAAGGCAAGAAAAATAAATAAAGGACATCCAAATTGGTAATGAAATAAAA